CAGTGAGCGGCCGGTCTGTATGTGGGATCCGAACCCTCGGCGGGAGTGCCGCCGTGCTTCCCAAGCGGCGCACTGTAGCAGTGCGCCACCGGGCCGGCCCAAAATGCATTATCTTTTTGTTCTTTTTTTTGTGGCTGGCCAGTTTGGAGTTCCGAACCTGTGACCTTGGTGTTATAAGGCTGTGCTTTAACCAACTAAGCCAACCAGCCAGCCCAGCAAAGTTTTGATTGTGCAGTTTAGTGATGTCAGGCTTAATTAAATGAACCATGGAGATAGCTTTTATCTTAAATTACTGTCAGTATAAGAATACCAAATGTGGAATGGAAAAAATGTCTTTATTGTTTATGAACATAGTTTTTTTTAACAATCTTTTCTTTTAATACTTAGAATTCTTAAGAACTCGTGCAAAGTGCTTTTCATCTTGCTTTTTAAGATTATGTTATTAATATAACTGGTTTGTAAAGTTTTGAAATTTCATTACGTTTTTTTGTGGTGAGATGTTCTTGTGCGTATAGTACTCTACTTCACTGTAATTTTAACAATACATTCTCTGAAGTTTAATTTTCCTCAGTTTTCGGAGAGACATATTATTTTTGAGAGTGAAAAGAGAAATCTTGAATGTATAGATATGTATTTTCATACATTTATTTTACATATTTTTCATATATGTTATGTGGTTATATAGGAAAGACGACTTACTGATTTTCAAATATATTATTGTCTTAGTCTGTTTTGTGCTGCTATAGCAGAATACCTGAGACTGGGTGATTTATAAAGAACATAAATTTATTTTCTCACAGTTCTGGAGGCTGGGAATTCCAAGATCAAGGCACCTGAATTTGGTCTGCTGAGAGTTGCTCTCTGCTTTCAAGGAATGCAGAAGAGCAAACTAGCAAGCTAGCCAAATGCTGCCTGAAGCCTCTTATGTGAAATGGCCTTAATCTCATTAATGAGGGAGGAACCCTCATGGCCTAATCACCTCTTAAATACCCCACCTCTAAATACATCACATTGGCGACACCCGAATTTTGGAGGGGACTGCATTCAAACCATAGGAATTATCTACTTAATGCCTAATGTACTGGCTCAGAAAGGCAGGTAGTATATAATATGGTGGTTAATATTGGCTGCTTGGGTTGAAATCCTACTTACATGTCTTACTAGTTGTGTGACTTTGTATACGTTACTTAACTTTTGTGCTTTAGTTTTTTTATTTCTAAGATGAAGGTAATAATAGTACCTGTTTATCATTGTGTAAGGGTTGAGTTAATTACTGTATTTTCTTATAACAGTGACTTGTGATAGTGTATCTTGAAAATTAGTTGCAATTATCATCTCTGTTACTATGATTATTCATCAGTGTAATCATTGTTCAGGTGGAGATATTTTGAATTTGTTACTAGAAGAATTCAGAAATTGCTCCCAAAATATCATTAATGATATGACAGAGTATCTTCATATTTGCTATTTGGAACTTTGGAATCACCAAAATCCTTGGCAAAGGGCTGGTTTAGAATTTCTAAATTTTTAATTCGGTAAAAATTTGATATTTAATTTTAAATTCATAGTTATAGCTGTTTATTATCACTTATTTTTAAAGTTCTGGGTTAAGTACATATTTTTAAAGAATTTTTTTTCTTTAAGCTAAGTTCTGGAAATTTAGATAGCTTTATACTAAGACCAGTACAGTAGCAGTTTTGTTTGCATTTGCCAGGGGAATGGGGATGTTGAATAATTTTTAATTTTGTTTGGGTTTTTGGGGTCTAATTTTAGTTTTAAAGTTGTGGAAGAAAATCTTCACAGCTTTTAGAATTCACTGTGGTAAAGGAAAGGCTATGGTTATACCATAAATTATGTTGAAAAAGTGAGAATTTATTCTCTTTTTCTGAGATTTTGATTATAGTGTTGTTTGTTTTGAAGACCTACTGTATTATTTGGTGGAGATTAAAGAGATTTGTCAGCAGTTTTACCATCATTGAATTTTATTTTTAAATTTTATTTATATTTATTTTTGTGGGGTTACAGTGTGTTGTTTTCAGTACATGCATATACTGCACAATGATTCACTTAGGGTGGATAGTTTTGTCCCCATTAGTTCACCCCTCATCCTCCATCCCACCTTCACCCCTCCCAGTCTCTGGCAACCATTATTCTACTATCTTTTTTTTTTTTTTTTTTTAAACACACAATGATTTTTATTATTATTGCAAAAAGAACTCTTAAAAATGAATTAGAAAAATCTAAGCAGAAATTTGGTGAAGGAAGGACATGAACAGAGTCACACACCCCAAAGAAACACAGGTGTTAGTAAGTACATTCTAAGATCTGGTTGCTGATGGGACGGGGCTGATGTGGTGGGGCTGGCTTCTTTGCTGGCCTGGATGAGGGGCAGGAGTGGGGCTAAGGCCTACCCCGACACAAACCCCTCTGATTTCATTTTTAATTAAACTTACTTTATTTTAACCTTTTAAAATTCACCTTTACTTTGAACATTCAAATCATGAAATAAAATCCCTTTCTTGTTTATAAATGCTTTCTAATGAATATATTGTCATTCTTTCCTATAGATTTTTTTTATAACACAGAAGAGGATGTTTTCAGTAGACATTTATGTCAGGGAAACTAAAGAACTTGCAATATATTGATGACCTTTCATCATGAATTTTTTGTTGTGTTTTGGTTTTTACTTATTTATGAACTGTCTTACAGAAATACTAAAAGTAATCGCCACCCTACTTCGAAATTCTCCCCAGTGTCCAGAGAGCATGGAGGTTCGCAGAGCCTTTCTTTCTGACATGATTAAACTTTTTAATAACAGTAGAGAAAACAGGAGGTAAGCTGCATCGAAAGCATTTATTTGCAGTATTCAAGTCTACTTTCGTATAAGTCCATTTTGTGTTAGAAAAATTGCTTTAAAACTACTGTGAAATGATTTTTCTGTATGTTTTTTCACCAAAGTGTGTAAGTAATGTACCAGACAGTTAAATTAGAGTTTTCAGTACCACACTGTTTAATCGTTTTGAATATATAGATAAATGTGGTTTTTTTTGGTGGGTTTATTTTGTTTTAAGCCTTTACATTTTAGAATTCTTTCAGATGATTTCATTTTCTTCAGTAATTCAGTACTCTCTTGTGATTTTCAGGAGTTTGCTACAGTGCTCTGTGTGGCAAGAGTGGATGCTTTCTCTCTGCTATTTTAATCCTAAGAATTCAGATGAGCAAAAGATAACAGAAATGGTATATGCCATATTCAGAATCCTACTTTATCATGCTGTGAAATATGAGTGGGGCGGCTGGCGTGTTTGGGTAGACACTTTATCAATCACACATTCAAAGGTAAGCTTTATGGAAGTGTGTTTTATTACTTGAAATATTTGTAATTTTGAATTTTACTCATAAAAAATACTTTAAATCAAGGAAAAAAGGCCAGTTATTTTCTGAAAGTGCAGTGAAATGAAAACTAAAAAAGGGAGTCAGTAAAAAAGGAATATAAAGTATTTCCAGCTTTTTCAGAAAAAAAATAATTTTTTTTAATGTCAGCTTTATATGTGTTTAGCTTAAAGTCAAACCTCGTGCAGCATAAAGGAATTTATATCTTCAAGTAAACTGTACACAAATGTGGGCTCTGAATTTTATAGTAGTTTAAGGCTTTTGAACACAAGGTGGTGCACTATATTCAAAGATGAAAAGTTGTTTTAGTAATGTAAGGTGGTCGAGCAAACAGAAAAGCCCTGGCTGATGTTTGCCCTTTGCTCGTGTTATAGCTAGTTAAAAAATTGGCCTGGAAGAGTTGACTGGACTGTTTTTCTTCAAAATTAAGCCAATGTAAATTATTTATGTATAGCTTTTATTTAAAATTTATTATAAAATATTCTAGACTTACAAAAAGGTATAAAGAATACTGTGCCTACCACTGTTTATGAATTTGAGTTCCCCTTCGCAATTGCTTTCAGCTACCCTTCTTTGACTTACCCACCCCACTAACCTAACTTTGGTGTTGTCATTTCCATGTCTTTTCTATACTTTTATTACATGTATTTATAACTATAAACAATATGGAGTTTTAATTTTCATATTTAAACTTAATGCTATCATATATACTAAATTTATTTTTTGTAAATTGCTGTTTTTACTTACTATTCTGTGAGATTTATCTACATCAACCCATGCAATTGTGTTCATTTTCTCAGTTGTATTCCAGTGGTACGATTTTATCCAATTATCAACTGATGAGCATTTTTGTACACATTTTGTAAATATTCAAGAGTTTCTCTGTGTATATATGTATTCCTAGTAGTAGTGAAGTTGCTGACTTGTAAAGTTCAACATTTGCACCTTACAAGATAATGCAAAATTTTTTCCAAAATAGTATATCAGTTTACATTCACATAACTTTATCGCTTGGTATGGCTGTAGTTTTAAAAATTTGTCAATTTGTTGAATTTTAAATGCTTTAGCCCCATAATCTTAGTCTACATTTTCTTGTTGTTTTTCTTTATGTATTCTTGGTCTTAATCCTTTTCTAGCTATGTTGTTTATAAATATCATCTGCCAATTTTTGACTTATCTATTTATTTTTGGATTTGGAGTTTTATGTTTGTGCCTTTTGAGGGAATTCTACATTTCAAATAATTAATGTAGTAAAACTTCTTAGTTTCATTTATTGTGTGTGCTTTTGGTATTTTGTTTAAGAACTCTTTCCTTACTCAGAAGGAATATAATTATATAACTATGTAAATAATTATAAATTGAAGGTAGTTTCATTTATTGTGTGTGCTTTTGGTATTTTGTTTAAGAACTCTTTCCTTACTCAGAAGTAATATAATTATATAACTATGTAAATAATTATAAATTGAAGGAAGAGAGATTTGGTTTATCTTTAAGTATTTTATTGACTATCAAAGTTATTGTTCTGGAATATTTTGTCATTCTATAAGAATACATTGCCATTTCCTAATTATGTTTTTAGGTGTTTGAATAGCTTTTAGTTATTTGAAAATACCTAAGAATTATTCATTCTGCCTCCTATTTCCTCAGTAAGAAGAGGGTGTGCTACTATTATAAGGATTTACAAGGATTTCCAGGGTTGTGCGGATGCTCAACTATTCTGGTTTCTATTGTAGTGGGCTGCTACAATCTGGATTGATTTTCTGCTAAGACTTTTTTGCCCATTACAAAAAGATCATGAGTAAAACAGGGTTGAATTTGGGCCTAACATACATTTGGATTAGATTTTAGAGATATCTGTGGGTATTCTAGGTTAGTAAAGTGCCAAGAATAGAGTAGATTTTCCAAATTTTCCCAAAAGTGTATGTCAGTTAATCTTAGTTTCTTCAAGTTCTTTAGGAAGGATGGCTAGAGGAATATAACCATTAGAATGATAGTTGTTAAAGTGAAGCCTGAAGATCTTGGGGGCACATGAGACCTTTTCAGGGGGTCTATGAAGTCTTTTCCTGGCTACACATCTGTGTGAGGGTGGATTTTCTTCACATACATCAACCAAAATGATATATGCAACAGATTGAATTCAAAACAGATATGAGAATGCAACTCTCTTCAATGAAGTTAGACTTTGAAGAGATTTGCAAAGATATGAAGTAATAGCACTCCTCTCATTATTATTTTTGGTTTTGAAAAAAGTCATTTTCAAGAAATATGTTTATATTAACATGTAATGGATTTATTTACTTTTAAATAAATTACTGTTGTAAAATTTCTAAGTTTTAATTTATAATATTATAGGTAGCAATAGATATAAACAAAAGGTCTTTGGGCACCCCGGTACTTTTTAGGAGTATAAAGGTCCTGAGAATAAAGGTCCTGAGACAAAAATATTTGAGAACTGCTGCCTTAGAAACTCATAGGATATTTAGGGCCAGTAGCCTAGTCTTTTTGCATTTCTACCTACAGAATAAAGCAGTTCAACTAGGTGACATCTCTGGTGCTTTTGAGCTTTTACGAATTTATGACTAAACATTTATATCCAGTTACCAGTGCGTTTGTGTAAGTAATAAAAGTACACAGACTTTGGAGACAGGATAGTCCTGGGTTTAATTTGTGATTTATAGTAATTATTAGCTGTGTAAACTCAGGCAAATTTTTAAACTCTTTTCATCTACCCGTTTCTAAGCTAGAAATGGTAAATGTGATGTGTGTTTGTGTATGTATGTATATGTATATATTTTATATATGGCATATTGTTGAAATCGAGTTAATGACTAATATCACAGACAATAGAATTAAATGCTCACTGACCTTTTCTTTGTTATAGCTTTATCAAAGCCCTATTCGTCCTTTTCTCATTCTTACTGCTAGTACATTAGTTCAGGCTCCAATTACTTCATGTTTTTAGTTAAACACAACTTTTAAAATGAAGAATTAATTACTTCCAAAATGATTTGTGTGGCATAAATACTGTGAAGTGTTGTAGAGGAAAACTGTAACTATGCTACCCAACTTAAGAGCATGCTTTGGTGGTGCTTTCCATCCAACCCCACCCCTCCTCACCCCAAAGATATCACTATTTTGAATTTTGTGTTTATAATTCCCCGCTTAAAAATGTATTCCTAAAAATATTATCTAATTTTGCCTTTAAAAAATTTTTATGAAAATGACGTTATGCTATATGAACCGTTCTGTTACTTATTTTTTTCTACATCAAACGGTTTGTTTCTAGAATTCTTTTTTATCGTTACTTGTAACTTTGGTTCATTCATTTTCACTGCTATGAATAATTCTGGTCTCAAATGCAAAGATTTTAATAGAGTTGTGATATCCAAAGTTTTTGTAACTGTGACACACAGGAAGGAATTTATTGTGACCATGCACACACACACACACACACACACACACACACACACACACACACACGCACACACCTGAAACAGTGGTTCTGTGAAACAATATTCACCCTTACAAAACTTTGGTATGTAGTGATGCATTCTGATGTTTTCTATCCTTTTTTGTTTAAAAAACACTGATAATGCCCCCAATAAGTTGATTCCATGATCTGGCAGCTGAATTATCCTCAAAAAACCATTGCTCTAGCAAATACAACTAGGAGTAGAATTCCTTAGTCCTGAGTAATGTTCCACCCTTTAACCCTTGATATAGTTAGACTTTTATTTTTCATGGTTTTGTCTTTTGCCTACTTTTTTACTAGGTTTTTCTTTTTCTTCATGATTTGTTGTTCTTTACACACACCCAGATTACTTCTAATCTAGATGTTTCTAATAGTCTCTTACCTTAGGTGTTATTTTCCTATGTATTCATTAAGCTAAAAATAACACATGATGTTGCTCCCCTTCATAAACATGAATGGGCATTGGAAAGGGCTCTCTCCAGGGTCACCTAGGGCAACCTATACAAGCAACAGGCTGTGTACACTACCCGAAAGGCTGCTGTATGCAGCTGTTGCATACCGGTCCCCTTCAAAGAAAGGAACACGGTCCTTTCTCGTTATCTCTTTAGTCAGTCTGTCTGTCTCTCTCTCTTCTTCTCTCTTCTTCTCTTTCCCCTTTCTCTCTTTTGTCTCTTTCTCTCTTCTCTCTCCACAGCCTCCAACTAATCAATCAATTCCCTCTACCTCTCACCCTAGCTGTTAGTGTTGACTCTGGGTACCTGGTACAGTCTGTGACCTCTGTCAACACCTAGCTAACTCTCTCCCTCTGCCTGTCTTATCTCATTTTCTTTTTTAGCTACCATCTTCCTCTCTTCCATCCTTCTCTTTTTCTTTGTCCTTCCCTCCAATATCTTCACCCATTCTGTGCCCTCTGCTCTCTCTCTCCCCCATCCAATTTCTGTTTTTCCCTGTTTGTTCCTCCCTTAGTGAATCTGTATGTCTGTATTTGTTTTGTCTGTTTTCTATCTCCCCCTCTCTCTCTTCGTTGGTCAGATAATAGGTTGGTTTCTTTCAGTCGATCTCAATCATTCTGTGTCTAGGTCTCACCAGTTGCCTACTTCTTTTCTTCCTCTTTACACCTTTATCTTTCCTTTTTCTTTTATTCCTTTTTTTTTTTTTTTTGGCAGGTGGCCTGTATGGGGACCTGAACCCTTGATCTCGGTGTTTCTTTTATTCCTTTACTCCTTTTTGTTCTTTTTATCTTCTTCTATATGAGTACCTTCTAGTCAGTATAAAAGATTGAAGGATGAATTGGGGTCATGTCTTATCCTGAAAGAAGTTACTTTCTAATATGGGAGATAATATATGTACAAAGATAACTAAAATACAAGGTTGAAAGCAATAAATGCCACAGAAGAGATATGCACAGTGAAAGGAGAGACAGCTTTCACCTGAGGGCACCTGATAAGTTTGTGGGATAGATGTCATTGCCAAC